GGCATTAGCGTGTAACTTCTCTACTGTTGTATGTTATAAATTAACAAAGTTTATGTGTATCGACGTTACCGAAACTTTAGGCAATATTAATTTATCATATATCATCTTTAATAAATTATAAAATTATCTTAATAATCAATCAAAATATATTCTTTATAATCATTATTTTACTAATTAATCAATTTAAATAGAAATTATTTTATTAACACAATAAATTATTTTATTAGAACCTATGTGTACCAACGCTACCTTAGGTTCTATACCATATAAATTTATCAAACAAATTTTTAATTTTTTTATAGTTATTATTAAATATTTTTTTAATCAATTCAAATATATTTATTCATTTCATTAATTGAAATTAATTTTATACTCTTTCCCATTGAAAAGAGACTCTGCCACTGCGTCTTCTTCCGTCTCTCTTCCGCTGTAAACATCTCTTTCACAGAGCTTTCCAAGGAATTCACCGATCGTTTACTCAGTTTCGTAGGTACGTTTGCCACTGGGACCCATTCGTCCAAGTGCTGCATGGTTCCCAAAGTGTTTAACACGTTTAGTAGCCTCATTCCAGACTTTGATCGTTGTTTTCTGATCAGTACAGTGGTTCACTCACAAACGAAAGGTTCATAGTTTGGAATAGATTGTGTAGCAAACAGGGGCTATTTTTGTGGAATTGGAGAATTTTATTTGCCCTGAAATGCTGCAAACGTTTGTTCTTGATGGTGGTCTTCATCCGGTTACCTATGAAGTCACGAATTGCCTTGGGGATGTTTGTGAATCTAAGGATATTACCTATACTGTTAAGAGAGTAATTTGGAAGCCAAGGCCAAAGAGTACAGGGATCCTGCTTTGGGCTCTGTTTTCGGTTTGGTTTCATGGTGAACAATCTTAGGTACAGGTGTCGAAGCAAAGGAGGGGAAAATGAGTAGTAAATAAAGATTATTGTATTAAATTTATATTAATTTATTATTTTATGATATTTATTTAAGAAATTATAAAATGAAATGGGTAGTGAACGGACATCCATTTGGCTGATACAATGTCCAAGTAATAGGCGAACATTTTGAACCTCTAATTCAATCTTAAAATTTTATCTTTTTAGAGCATTGCTTTTATTGCAATACAGCGGCTCCACACCCTTCTTTAAAAATCGTTTGGTTTTAGAATATGCTTTCATTTTGTTTTCTTCCTTCAAACATTTGCACAGGAAAACTAAAAACAAATTTTTTCCCTGTTTTTACAGTTTCTTGTATAAAACTTTAAAAACAAAAAAAATTAAAAATAAAGTGACAATTTTATAATTAAAAATTAAAAATTAAAAATATTTTTAGAAAGGAAAGATGTTCTTATTTTCCTATTAATCTTTGTGGTCAATTTGTTTCTTGTATTCATTAGTATGTACCAATAATGCAAGATACAGCTAAGAAAAGTAAAATCTACAGAATTCAATAATGAGAAATGACTTACAAATTATTTATACCCAAACTCATATCTACATGAATAGCAACTTCAATGTTCATGCCTGTTTACATACCCAACTCTATTACATGCACTCAGGTAAAATAAAAATATTATAAATTCTACCAAACAAAGTCTTTAATTAAATAAAATCAAGTGCCAAACACGTACAATAAAGTAATTAATTCTATAACATAACGATACACTAATAAACACGGGAAAGTTTCTTTCATCTCCTTTGACGAAGACTTCCAAACATAAGTCCATATGCTTCTTTGTTATATCTTTTAATTCAATAGATAAGAAAAGAACTAATAATAAAGATCACCAAAAAAAAATTAAAACCATACCTTATAAAAGGAAATTTGATAATGGTAGGTACAACATTAAATGCACGAAACTCTTCAATTCTTGTCATGATGCCAAATGAGGTTGTTGGGATCCTAATTAATTTCCGATACATCACCATCCATCTTTTTGTGCTGTGTTTGATCCAAGCTTGTACTTTTAGTCTCCCACGCAAAAATTGTTACTAACAATTTTTTTAATTTACTTTTTATTATTAACTAAAATTTATTTAAAATTATAAAAAAATATAAGTGTCATGCTTAACTTAATGATTTATATTTATTATTCTAATTTTTAATAAATTTAATAAAAATAAAGAGTTTATTAAAAATATTAGAAAATTAGCCTATTAAAAGAATTGCTCAAACCTTATCAAATATATAATAGTTATATCTTTAACTGATGTAAGACAGTTTAATAAAAAAAATATTTATGAATAAATTAAAATTCATAAAGTTGATCTCCAGAATACAAGTGTAGTATTGTATATATTTGAATTTGTTCTTTGGAGTGATTATATTTTCACATTATATTTTTTATATTATACTCCTACATCCATTTTTTTGAAAAGAAAATAAAATTGAGTTTCTTTCTCTCAATTTTCTTCCCCTAAAGAGAAAATATCAAAATATAATATAAAAAGTAAAATGAAAACATTTTTGTTAATTTAGTTAGTCAAACTTATAAGATTATAGGAAGTACAGTTTGGACAAAGACCAATATATATGTTCAATCGTTATAATTCAAAATTCATTGTGTATTAAAAAGTTAATCCGCTAGATTCTTTTTATAAGAAATTTTTAGTAATTTTTATTAATCTTAAATATAAGACAAGAAAACTAAAAAATAAAATGAAGAAAAATTTTCACATAAACAAAATTAACTTATGCACATCAAGTTTTAAAAAAAATTTAATAAATTAAATTTTTAAAAAATATATAGAAAAGTATAAATTAATTTTAACTTATAAAAAATTATTTTTATTTCACTTCTTTATTTTGTATCTTATATAAGTAAGTTTGTCCAAAATTATCTTATAAAAACTTTTCTTTATATATAGATTTTAGTTAAAAAGTTCTTGTAATAAAAAAATGAAAATATAATTTTTTAATTAATTTTAGTTTCAAATAAGCTCATTCTAGAAATTTCAGTAAAATAAAAAATTATTAGATAATTTGAGATTACATAGTTTTAACCACTAATATTTTATCGTATGAACAAATTATAGATATTGTGATATAAGTGGTGGTCAATATGTTTCTCTCTAAAAAAAATTATTTCAATAGTATAGTATAGTAGTGTTTGGTTCAAAGACAAAAACACAGAGATACGTGTATTATGTTTAGTTAGTATTTCGCTAGAGAGACAGAGACACAGAAAGACACGCGTAACACAAATTTCAAGAAAAGAATCAAAATGAATATTAAAAAAAATAATAAGAATTTTGTTGTTCAAATTTATTTAACTTTGAATTAATATGGAAGAAAATAGGAGAAAAAATGTCTATTTTATTTTGACCCCATTTTTCTATTGTATCTAATTTGTTCTCTTTTCACTTTTTTTTTAGAACAAAAGAATAGAGTAATCTTAGAATGCCCTTTCCTTTTTGACTTTTCTTTTAACTCATTTCATTTTGTAGTAGGTTCCATTCTTCGAATATCTACAACGAGAAGAAAAAGGTATCAGATCACTCCAAACTAGGGTTCTACAGTTTTTTTCTCTGCATATTTTATTTAAGAGGAAAGGTCTATCCTTATAATTAAGCCAAGAAAGAGCCTTTATTGTGTTTAATACAAGAACAATTAATCCAATTTTTTTTTTGTAGCAATGAAATATATTCCTCCCCCAAATAAGAAATGATTAATTACAAATATCTATGATTCATATTTACTATAAAGGACCAGAAATGCCTTGCTTATGTATCATTGGAAAGTGCATTAACATAAATACGGCAGTAAGAAGAGGTAATACAAAAGGAACTTATCATGAATCCACTAATTTCTGCCGCTTCCGCTATTGCTGCTGGGTTGGCCGTCGAGCTTGCTTCTATTGGACCTAGGGTTGGTCAAGGCAGTGCTGCAGGGCAAGCTGTAGAAGGGATTGCGCGACAACCAGAGGCAGAGGGAAAAATACGGGGTACTTTATTGCTTAGTCTGGCTTTTATGGAAGCTTTAACAATTTATGGATTGGTTGTAGCATTAGCGCTTTTATTTGCGAATCCTTTTGTTTAATCTTAAAAAAATAAATATATATATCCTTTTTCCGTGGACTTGCTTTGCTGTTCTTGCTTTGTCGAATTATATTAAGATTTCACTCTGATTTGTCTTCTTTCTTCTCTTTTTTAGCCCCTTTTTTAGTTTTAGAAAATTCATCGAAAGTGTTAAAAACAACTAAAAGATTTATGTAATTGACATAAGAAGTGGTATCGAATTCTACTAAGTATCATTCTTATAGGAAATCCTCCAATTGATTGATCAATTCAAATAATATATATATTAATATATACATATATAAATAGATATATATATTTATATATGTATTAATAGAATATTATTATTATTAAATAAATATTATTACCAGTGCACCTCCTAAAAAGAGGAACATCAGTGTCCTAGCTCTAGGGACATGAAAACTATACTTTTGAAGACCAAAATACTCCTGATAAGAAGTGTCAAAGGTAAGATAGTCATTTCATATTTTTTTTTGTCTTGTCTCTTATATCCAAACATAATACAAGACGCAATACACAACATTCTATCCTTACTTTCAAATACAATACGTAAACATAAATATTAATATTTTTATCCTTCATTATTTTAGTATCTCTGTTTTTATTGCCCAAAAATGATATTCAAATGCTACCTATAAGAGATGAAAATTAGAATCCAATTCAAGAACTAAAATAAATTAAATAAATAAATAAAGCATACTAAAAAAAAATGGAGAATTCAACTCTCTTTCCATGGAATCATACCTCATGTTCAAAATGAGTTTCCAAGAAGTTTCATGTGCTAATAATCAGTTTTGCCCGATTTCCATGAAAATGAACCCGATTGAAATGAGTCACCTAGATATTCATTTCCACCAAAAATAAACCAACAAAACTGGAACGTTTGTCTCATCTCCCTCCACAATGGAAATATCTTGGCAGTTTGGGAAGACTTTCAAACCTAAGCTCCACAATAGCTCGCAATTAAGCACCACTTCTTTCCATCTTAAAACCTTGCTCTTGCATCTTCTTACACTACAACCCCACACATATACTCAACAGATCCACCATCTAAAACAAAAATGTCACCAAGATTTCGAAAACTGTTAACTCAACCCAAGTTCTGGAGAAGTGTGGGATTTGTGTCGAGTGTTATTGGGATGCTGTGTTATGCGTGGGCCCTGGTTTTAGACCACTTTGGAGAAAAGTATCACATTTTGAAGATCTCTCTTTACGGCGTGGTGAGTTTCACAGTCATCTGTGTTATGCTATTTCCAAAGGTATTGCGGTTTACAAAGAGTTTCTTGTTGAAAGCTCTAGTGGGACTTTTGGCTTTGATGCTAACTTCTCTGTACAATTTTTTCAGTGATAAAGACTCAAATACAAAAATATGTGTGCTTAGCTTAATTTCTAATGCGTCATTTGCTTTAATGTTATTGAGCTTGTCAAAGCAAAATGACCTTGGGTTTGAACCGGAACTGCTTAATTTTTATCTTGGGTGTCTTACAATACAACTAATGAAGGTAAACTTGTGGTTCATTTTGGTTGGAGCAACTTATTGTTATTTTCTCAACGTTCTTCACTCGCATTCAGACTTCAAGCTAGAGATTGGAAGAGACAGTGGCCACGAAGAGCACGTGGCAATTGAAATTGACACTGCCATGGGAGAAGAAAGAGAAGCCAACACTGATCACATAGAACAACTCTATTTCTTTCTGGGAATTGATATTAAAAATGATGATGAGGACACAGTTTTGTACCCTCATGATCTAGAAATCAAACTTGTGGAGGCAATGGTTTCAGGGTTTGAGCAAGAGCACTGTTACCATGTTTTCTGTGGTTGGCGAAGACAATTCTTGGAGGAAAAGTTGTTACAGAACCTCATAAGCATCGAAGACGTTCACAAGATGCCACTGAAATATCTTAAAGACAAAATTGAACGATGGGTCCAAGCTTCCAAAGATGCTTTCAGGTCACTATTCCCGAATGAACGGGATCTCAGTAATCGTGTTTTCGGGTTCTCTCCTTTTGCAGATCGTTCTTTCATGGTGATTTGCAATGACCCCACAATTTATCTGCTGAATTTCGCCAATGCTGTGGCTAGTACAAGCCGATCACCAGAGCGTTTGTTCAGAATACTAGTAGTCTATGAGAATCTCAATGAACTTTTGCCTGATTTGGAGTCATTGTTCTCAGGTGATGATGAGTGGTGTGTGGTTCTTTTGAATGAGGCAAAAAGAATCTATAAAGGGTTGAGAGAAGCTATTAGAGGGGTTTTTATGGAGATGGAAAATCTAATTCGTCAGGACCCAGCAAAGGTAGTTGTTTTAGGTGGTGGGCTTCATCCAACAAACCGCTATGTTATGAACTACCTCTTTGGCGCTTGTCAATGTTGGAAGACCCTTGAGCTTGCTTTTGAGGATGAAGGGTCACCTTCTTCTTCATTGTCTATTCAGGTGGCTCAGATTTTGGACTTGTTGGAGAGAAACTTGAAAGCCAACTCCAAAATTTACAAGGACTCTTCCTTGTGCTCAATTTTCATGATGAACAATTGGAGGTACATAGTTCACAAGGTGGAAAAATGTGAACTAAGAAGAGTGTTCGGAGAAGACTGGATTCAAAACCACGTAGTGAAAATGGGTCAACACCTTGTGAACTACCAAAGAAATTCGTGGAATCAGGTACTTGGCATATTGAATGTAGAACCTGATGAATCTGCAGAATCGTGGAAAGAAAAGCTCAATATGTTGAAGTTGATATTAGAGGAGATAAGTCAAATGCAGGGAACGTGGGTTGTTATTGATGACCAGATAAGAGAAGTGATAAGAAGATGTTTGAAGAAAACTTTGTTGCCAGCGTTTGAAAATTTCATTGAAAGAGTCCAAAACGCTGGGGATTATCGAGGAGGTGTCGGCATGAATGAGGATTTTGGGGTCCATGATGTTGTGGCTCTTGTAGAAAAGCTGTTCCAGGGAAAAGACGAGCACCGAAAACCCAGGTGCGTGCTGAAATTTCAAGGTTTTTTTTCCCTAATCATAGCGTATAGTTCAAAGGTTAATTATAGGTACACGGTAGAAAATGTTAACATTAGGGTTCGAGATAAGTATTAGACAAAAAATTATTTATTATTTTAAAAATTAAATAAAGATTGTATTTTTAGTTAAATTTTAATTAAAGTTTACACTTTTTAAATACTTAAACACGGCATTAAAATATGATATTATCAAAACCTTTTATTTATTTTTACAGACATAACAGTAGTTGCAACTGGCATCTTTTCGTCTCAATTCAATTTGAGCGTTTTTCATGCGCTAACGTAAAATTTGATTCGTCTAGAATAAAAAAAAAGAGATAATTCATCAACTATTAACTTAAAATAATTATATTTATAATATATTTAAATTTAAATTAACGGTGCATATATTTATATTTTTTAATTTTCCGCTTAATTTGCGTTGAAAAATATTCATAGGATTGATTGAATCTGGGTATGTTGCAGAGTTATTCAGCCAACATGGACGGTGGTCATGCCCAATACACAAGATTTTCATGAATGGGTGAAGTACGCTCAGAAGACAATCCTTAGTTCTACTTACCCAAGGTAATTACTAGGTTTCTTCTTTTTCTTTTTCTTATTTTTCAATTGGTCTTTGTAGCCAAATTGTTTGGAGAAGATAAGAAAAGTCTGGAGAATTCAATAATGAGAAATGACTTACAATTTAGTATTCGACAGAAAATACTACAAGTGCATCTACAAGAATGATCAAGGTTGTCGAGCAAGAAAACACGTTCAACAAACACAAGACAATCCAAAGATGTACACGACTAGCTACTCTGGTTTTCATACATGCAATGTGCGTCCATAAATGCCCCATAATCTCGCGAAACATTTACTGTTTATTGCTTTATACAAACTCACTTGTGCTATATGTATGTATATATTTTGGGAAGAACTAGCAAGTTACAAAGTATTTTAATAAATCTTAAATTATAATTTGCTACCATTTCATTTAAAAAAAGATTTGTTAATTAATGGTAATATATAAATTTAAAATCACGATAAAAACAATTAGCAAGACTAGGGATGACACGGATGACACTTGCATATATTTAGTTGAATATTATAGTATTCGTTCTTTCGTATTTTGAAAAATTAATTATATCCAAACTCATCTACATGAATAGCAACTTTAATGTTGATTTTTGTTTACATGCCCAACTCCATTACATGCACTCAAGTTAAATAAAAATATTATTTGATATTTTAATTATAAATTATACCAAACAGAGTCTTTAATTAAATAAAATCAAATGTCAAACACGTACAATAAAGTAATTAAATCTATAATATAACGATACACTATTGTATAGCGACTCTTTTAGACAGTTGCAGTTTGTGAGATCAAAATCCTTTGTTCCTTTTCCTATTGAATTTTTTATACTTCAATTAAAATTTCACCTCAACATATTGAGGTGAGAAACATGAGAATATCTTTTGTTAGGTCACATTTTTTTATCTACCCATGTATGTAGAATGGTTCTAAGGTGTCGTAACCTTGTGCACAGATTGACACACCCTCATTGAATTTTTAGCCACTATTGAGTACCACCATCAAATTTCTCCTACTAAATTTTCATTTATTTCCATTGTCTTTGTTGAGTATCAATCTTTGCTTTTTTAAATTGATGGTGGTACTAACCTAATGCACAGATTGACATTCCCTCTTGCTTCTTAAATTGCTTTTCAATATTTTCTTCGCTACGAGCATTAATTTTTTCAACACGATCAATCATTGTTTCATTTTGCATGTTAATGCCATCAATATTCTAAATAATAACTGTAAGCATCTCATTAATTTTTTGAATTAAACTCGTTTCTTGACTAGTTAATTAAATCGCACAAGTGTCATTGATTTTAAAACTTTATGTAAAATCACTATAAAATACACACCTAACATTAACAATGTGATTATAAAACTTATTAGTAATATATGAGAATATTAAATATACTAAAAACACTTAAAGAATAATATATAACTTTTTTCTTATAAAAAATACATGCTACATAAACGACTTCTTGAACGAAAATAATTTATTTGACACCGATTAAATGATTATAGAGTGTATATATGATAAATAATATGATAAAAGAGATAAGAAAAAAATTATGAAAAATGAAAGAGAAAGTAAGTGTAAAAATATAATAATTACTTCTTAAATTAATCAACGAAAATACTCACACATTTCCTTTATTTTTTTCAAATGTGTCGAGTGAAAGAAGAAAAAATAAAAATATAAAAAATATTAGTAAGTTTGGTATCTTTTGTCTCTGATGAGATCATCAAAGAGAGGGTCAAACACGAGCAAACTGAAAAGGAAATATTGTCTTGGCCTAATCAAATTTCCATCAATCCATATTCTGGTTAGTTAGAGTAACCTTACTAGATGTGATCTATTTCACATTGAAATTAATAACTTTTTATAATTATTTATATAATTAAAAGAAGTCATATGCTGCGAGATTGGACTGATTACGACTTGAATAAAATGACGGCAACTGTATTCATAATTTTTATATTACAGAAAAATTAAATATTGTTATCACGATAATTACAATTTAGTTATTAATTTTTTTATTATTATTATTTGAATAAGAAGGAGAAGGAGAAGGAGAAGTTTAAAAATATAAACTAATACTTAAGGAAAATAAAATAAAACTTTAACAAAGAAAATTAAAAAATATTTTAGAAGTATAAAGAACTTATATTTTAAAAAGTTGGAAAATATATGTATGTTTGTCTACAAAAAAAGGTTATTTAAAAATATAAACTAATACCTAAGGAAAATAAAATAAAACTTTAACAAAAAAATTAAAAAATATTTTAAAAGTATAAAAAACTTATATTTAAAAATAGATTAAATATTATAATTTTAAAAAAGTTGAAAAATATATGTATGTTTGTCTACAAAAAGGTTAAAGTTACATGTCTGAGAAAAATAATAATATAATAAAATTTATCTAATTTTAGAGGATAAAGATTCTATTTTACATAATAATGTTAAATTTAAGTGATGAAAAATTATTAATTTTTTCCTTCTATATTTTGCCTTTAAAAGTGAAAAAAATTTTACGAATAAATTTATTAATACACCTTCTCCTATTATTTTTAATGCACATAAATTCTAATATTTTTTATTTTTAATTCATTAACCAATGCCTTAGCATGACCCAAAAAATAAAAAGGGTATTGTTAATCAGCTCTTAATCAAAATTAAAAAAAAATAAAGGTTGAAAATTATCATTGACAATCATTGGACATGGTACATTAATAATATTTTTTTAACAATTTTTTTTTCACTTTCAATTTCTTAACCAATATTTTGCACCGATTATCATAAGCTAAAATGAAATTTTAACACAAAAATCATTAAAATAATTATTTTGAAAGTTTAAATAACTAATAATAAAAGATTATCTAATCATAAAGAGTGAAGATTCTACTTCATTATATAATTTTAGAGTTTTAAAATTATTTTGTTCTTTTATGCTTGTCCTTTAAAAATATGATGATACCAAGATATTTAATTAATGCTTTCATTTTATGGAAGATAATATAATGAAAGAAACAAAATGAGCATTGTCATCATAAATTACTGATGAACCTTGTTGATGTGAAATTTTCTAAATGTTGGAAAGTTGAAATTTTATCTAAATCAAACCACATTTTTTTTCTTATAACTAATTCAGATATTTTACCTTAAAAATCTATTTAAACCAAATTATGAACATTTCTATTAAATTATTAATTAGAAACCCATCACTTGTCTTTATAAATAATTAAGTACATATCAAGGGAATGTGTTCGTTTCTTTATCTATACTTGTTTCTTATTAACTTCTAAGGTTAGCCTCTGAGAATATGCCGGCTTTTGACCTCGCACAGTCTTAGGGTTTCTAGAATCTAAATGTACTGAACGATAACTCCATACTTACGACATTTAGGCGATTCTTTACGAGAAATTCAGCATATATTTGAATGCATTTCAAGTTGACGTAAAATCATGATTTCATTGAAACATAATTTTGTTAAAAAAATATTGATGTTTGGAAATTTTAATCAAAATTAATTTTGTTTTAAAACTCATATTTGAACTATTGTGTTGAGTTAAAACAAATTATCCTAATTTTACTATATATTTAATCAACAGAGATTTCTATGATTTCTGTTAACCGCTACTGACCCCTGTCCATTTATTTACACCTTACAGATTTTTCTTTACGGCGTTTTTTGAAATTAGTTTACTTTTAAATTAAAAGTTTTGTATAGTTTTTATGATTAAATAAATTAGTTTGATAATTGTTTCTCGCCATATAACAATTGTTTTGCGCGTGATAACTGATAAGCGACAGGTTAAAAATAGTTTCAGACAAACAATCTAAAAGTACCAAAATTTGCAAGTGGCTTCCTACTTTGGATTTTACTTTTTGATCCATTAATAAACGCTACGAATTGTTAGCAGCATTGCATAACTTCAACGAATTCAGAGTTAAGACAAAGCTGGACAACAAAGTGCTAGGTGTGGTCATCTTCGTCTCCAACTTTCAGAACATTTTCTAATGCAGTGACGTACTTAATTTAAGATTCTTAAATAGTAATATAAATGAACACTTGAGAATTTCTGCTACTGTTAAGTACTGGAAATCAGCATTGGCTTCTCCGTTCTCACTTCAGTGTCATATTAGGGAAAGAGTATAGGGAGAAGATAGCGGAGAGGGTTCAGGAAGACGGGTAATGCTACACTCCATAAAGCATACTTGAATCAATTCGTACAACCAACTTTTATCCCCATTTAGCTACAACAAAACAAAAGCAAAAGTTGAAAAAGAAAATATTGTTGGCTCAAATCAAATTCCATCAAGCCAAATTCCATAAAGCTTGTCCTTGGAATTACAAAATATCTTTCATCAACTAACATAAAAATGATCTTGAAAAATTCTAATACTTCCCCGCCAATGAAACAAAATTGCTGATCCTTGCAGGGAGGTGGACTTAACCAAGCAAATCTAAAAACTGAAAAAGAAAAAAGCGGACATATACATAAATGATAAAATATACAATATTTCTTGAGCCAGTAAACTCGTACTATTATAAGCACTGCACAAAGGAAGAGTTCGAAGCAAGGACCAATAAGAAGCACCACAATGTAACAACAAAAATGTTAATTTTGTAACTCAAACGGCTCTGAACTTGAAAATCCTTTTCAATCGTCAACGATAATGCTAAGCAGACATACAATTGTATTTATGGTACAAGACCACAAATCTTTTACAGCTTCATTGGTGATAATCAAAACTTTGTATTTTAATTACACTACAAATACATACAAACAACAACTAGCAGCTTTACCTTCACTTTCTGCTACCAGCTGATCCACTGCTTCCCTGGAACAAATCGTTGAGTCTTGCTTCAATGTCCTCTGTCTCATACTTGATATACTTATCAGCATGCTTTCCGAGTTCTGGAACACTCTGGAACCTCCCAATGAAGCTTCCATAAGCTGGCAACAAGATTTTCTCAAGGGAAATTCTTATTTCTTCCCTAAGTTGATCATCAAAGACAAACCATGAAGACTGAACCCTGCATATCTCCTCAAAGAGCGTGTTAAACAACTTGAGCTTCTCTTTCATTGACTTTGCTAATCCATTAGGTGGCAATGATCCATTGCTATCCAGCTTCAGAATCCCCAGCACTTTATTCCATGAGCTTCTTTGATAGTGCACATGGTATTGCCGAACTTTTAGAGCATGTTTACGGATCCAATCATCCCCCAAAAGGGTTCCCAATTCACTATCTTTGGTCTTCTGAACAATGTACCTCCCATTATTCGTCAAGAAAACGTAACACAAACCAGGGTCCTTGTAAATTTTGGACTTGGCTTCCAAATTACTCTCCAAAAGTTCCATAATCCAATCCATTTGCACTGATAGAGAAGAAGACGACGGCACTCTATCATCAAGTTTGGGATATTCCTTCAAAGGATGCCCGTAATCTTCAAAAACTTGCTCCAGTGTTTGCCGGGACCGGCAAGCGGCACGGAGGTAGTTCATCACGTAGCGAGTAATCGGATGAAGTCCGCCACCGGGAACCGCCATCTTCGCCGGATCCCGGCGAATTAAATTCTCCAGTTCCATGAAAATGCCCCTGATTGCTTCCCCCAATCTCTTCCAAATCGTAATCGCTTCATTCCTGAGAGAGACACTGTACTGATCAGAAAACAGAGACTCAAACTCCGGAATTAGGTCACGCAATGTTTCAAACACGTCGAGGATTCTAAACAACCGTTCCGGCAAACGGCTTCCAATTGCAACGGCATCGGCGAAATTCAGTAATTGAATCGTCGATCCTCTGCAAACCTCCATGAAAGAGAAGTCACCAGCGGAGGAGAATCCAAAGAAGATGCGGTCGCAGAGTCGGCGCTCGCTGGGGAAGAGTATCTTCAGAGCGACGTTGGAAGCTTTAATCCACCTTTCAATCTCGTCTTCAAGATCATGCCATGGCATCTTGTGAACTTCCTCGATGCTAAGCTTCTGTAAACCTAATCTCGAGATGCTTTCCTCCAAGAACTCCCTCCGACAACTGCTGTACACGTGCGAACACTCCTTCCCGAATCCTCCTGCTACCATGCGCTTCGCGATTTCGTGAAGGTCGTTGATCGTCCCCGACGGCAGCGCATCGATGACGATGTCGTAGTCGGTGACCGGTAGCGCCACTGGAATTTGTTCCTCTTCTCCTCCGTTCCGGGCTTCTTCATCGACTTCTTCGTCCTCTTCATCCGAGTCAAACGGAAAATTCTCCGTTGACTCGCCGGTCCGGTACGGACGAGTGAGATCGAAGGACTCGCCCCCGCGCTCCATGAGTGAGCGGAACTCGTCCTCGAGGCGGAACATGGCGTGCTGGAGCATGTCTTCGGCGCGTACGAGACACGCGGCGACGGCTTTATCGGAGGCGACGTGATTCCACTCGGCGACGGCAGCGACAAGGTCGTCGACGGCGTCGAGGAAGGCGGCGGAGTCGGCAGCGTCAGCCCAGATAGGACGGTCGGAGGAAACGTAGTGGGAGATTCGGCGATCGAGAGATTTGAGGGAGTGATCCAGTGCGGCGCAGGCCCTTGGATCCGCATCTACGACCTTGTCCGATAGGTTCTCCCTCGAGAACCTTCCATCGAAGTTGGAGAATATTTGGAGAATATCGTCAGACATGGTGTTGTTGTGGCCCAGCGTTTTCGCTATGTGCCGCGCCATAGCCAGTAATTTCTCTTCGCCGTTTTCGGACATGTTTGAGCGGAAGCTACTTCATTACTTGCACCGAAAAGAACAGGAAAATGGGGACCATGAAGAGGAGCAGGAGGATAGAATGACGGATATGCCCCTCGAGTTACGCGGTTTGTTAGAAAAGTGGAGGACAAAGATGGTCAAATGGTAACTACGCGGAGATAGAGAGCAAAGACCAGAGAAGAAGGTAAAGTCGAGAGTGAACGTGGACAGCGGTTTCCTTCTTTGATTGATTGATAGTCGTTGCAGGAACCTTTGCTTTTTCTATTGCTTTTATGTTTTTATTCGTTGATCTTCGATTAGAACTTTATATTTCCAACGTCGTTATTAAGTCTTTTTACCTTTGACTCCAATTTTATTGCAAAACTAGAAAAGAAAATTGACGGACAACCGAGGGTTTTTTTGACTTTACAGGGTTAAATCAAAAATATTTTATCCGTATGAGATTTTTTTACAAAAAATTATCTGTCTAGGGTGATTTGTGAGTGTCGTAAAAAATGTTGGCGACACATGATCAAGTATCGGCTGAAAGAATACCGACACAGGTGTCAGACCCGATTACTGAGAGTGGTTCAAAAGGAACCGCTCTCTAATATAGACATTTTAGAGTGGTTACTTTCAAACCGCTCTCATAAATCAATTTTAGATAGCGGTTAGAAAGTAACCGCTCTAAGAAGTGCATTTTAGAGAGCGGTTGTTATGGAACCGCTCTCTAAAATGGACTTTTGAGAGCAGTTCAATTCGAACCGCTCTCAAAAGTCATGTTAGAGAGTCTATTTTAAAATTATTTTTACAACACCAAACACCTAATTTCATAATTCTTCAATGAATTTTCCTTAATTACTTAATTCATAATCCTTTCGTGGGATAGGTGATGGAAGATTCGGTTGCTGGGACATTGTTTTCAGGCGAGAAGGTGATAGTTCAACATTTACCGCAGGAAGAAAACAAAAATAAATAAAAATGGCTGGACCATCAACCATTAACAGCGTTTTGTTCCTGTTGCTAAGATGAATACAAAGAAAGCCGTAAGAACAACGTTTACTAAGATGAAGAAACACAGCGAATACGAAGAAACACCACCACGAACACTCTTTTCTAATTGTCTGTCTCTAAAATATTTTAAAATAATATTTTACATGACTTTTGAGAGCGGTTCGAATCGAACCGCTCTCAAAAGTCTATTTTAGAGAACTGTTCCATAATAACCGCTCTCTAAAATCGAACCGCTCTCAAAAGTCTATTTTAGAGAACTGTTCCATAATAACCGCTCTCTAAAATGTACTTCTTAGAGCGGTTACTTTCTAACCGCTCTCTAAAATTGATTTATGAGAGCGGTTTGAAAGTAACCGCTCTAAGATGTCTATATTAGAGAGCGGTTTCTTTTGAACCGCTCTCAGTAGTTGGTTGTGACACCTGTGTCGGCATTCTTTCAGCTGATACTTGATCATGTGTCGCTAACATTTATTACGACACTCACAAATCACCCTAGACAAAGAATTTTTTGTCAAAGAACCCCATACAAATAAAATGTTTTTGATTTAACCTTATACAGGCAAAAAAATCCGACAACCGATAAAAATCGGTGTGAAAAATAATTTCCTTTTTTTCTTTTCTCAACTTGATTGTCTATCTCATTGACTCATTTTTATTTTTTGCTACTACTTATTTTCTTTCGCTTTATTGATATTTTGATTTTTGTTTGATATATTGTCGTTCTTTGTATGCTTTTTGTTTTTTGTGTTTGTAAAAACGCTATGACGTTAATATTTGTTGCTTTTATCTATGTTTTAAACTCCCGATCATTTTTTTCAGGGCTTTTATCACTCCTTTTCGGTGCAAAATACGGCAGGTTTTTTTTTTCTAAAGGAAAATTCAATAAATATGTATTATTTAACCACTAATATTAGAACAAGCATGGAAATCTGCGTAATAGAATTAAATACTTGAAATAAAGTATTACAAATAAAATTGTTCTTTTGATTTTATTAGTAAGAAATAATTATTAATATTTTTACTTTAAATATTAAAAATAAGATTATTTTAAATGTATTAATTATTAAAAAATATGTAATCACACAATAGAAATATTATATATTTTCTATACAAACAAACAATTATAATAATTAAATTGATATTTTTAATATATATTTACTATTCTAAATTTTACAAGAATGGTTTTTCAACTCTAGTTTCATAGTGTTACAGTTTTTATAAAATTATTGTGCGTTGTAATCAATTATAACTTTTTATTTTAATAAAAAAAAGAGTTAATATTATGATCTATTTAAAAATATTTAAATTATCTAATAATATGATCAATTGTTTATGACTTCAGGCACTTTACATTGGTGTATGCAGAAATTAGTGAGTCTAATTTCTAAACTTACAATAAAAGGTGCCTAAAGTTAATAAATAGCATGACTAAGTCCACTTTATTTGTCATCACAAAATACATTCAATGACTCTCTATGTTTGTCCCATTGAGAACTTATAATTTGGAGGGAGTGTGATTAAACATAAGAAAAACTTGTTTCTTCATTATTCTAATTTGACTTCTCATTGTAAGAATTTATACTTCACATAAGTTATTTTTAGTACAGTTCATAATGTCTATATCAAGTAAATAAATTATATTATTAAAATTCTAAATTCATATATAAAATCTAATATAAATAATTTGTTCTTACATCAGCCATTTAGTATGCTAATTTAAATTATATCAAGAATATTGATTTTTCTAAATCAAAGGTTAATATGTCTTTATTTTTTTTCATTTATTTTGTTTTTACTAGGAGTTCAATCCTTAATCAACTAGTTTTTTTTTTTTTATCAACCATCAACTACCTTAAATATTCTCATTGTTCTTGACAAACAAGTTTAACCTGCTTTTTAGACATCAAAAGATACAAAGTTCAACATGTTTTCCTTTCTCTCAATTTGAGGAAATATGTCATACACAATTGTATTTAAGTAACATATATATTGGCCTTAATATGTATTTCTCTATTTTTTTCAAACGCTAAAACATAACAAAATCTTAATGTTATTTTCATAAATAGCACACATATATACCCGCTCTTAGTATGAATTAATTATTAGAATAAAATTATAAAACAAGACATAGTTAAAATATAAAAAATAAAGTTAAAATTAATACATATCAAGAAGTTAAGGGCAACTTGAACTCTCGATATATAGTAGTGGTTTTAAAAGAAATACTTTAACGTTTAAATTAGTGGCAATTTGACTAAAATAATAATTTAAAATTATAAGATTGCATACTTTGTTGTTACGGGCATTTGAGACAATAATTATTTAAATATAAAAGTACGCCCAACACTATACAATATGCATGACACGTCTAATAAAATTGATAATGTGTTAAAAATGTTAGTGTTGGTAGATAATGAATATGCTTGTGTAATAGTTAGTGTTCAAAGTTATAACCGAATCTGAGATGAGTTTAAATGGTGTTTCACTCCTGATAATCAAATGACTTATGATAAAGGAAGATTTGTAGTCACATAAAGTAATGATCATGGTGAATTAGAATAAAGTAGTAGTGAAAAGATAGTTTGACTAGAGTCAAATATTTAACTCCATATCAAACATTAAAATAAATTTTAATATGAAAAACTAAAAGATTATGTTTCTATAACACTAATATTAAAGAATAAAAAATTAATATCATTAAATTGTAGATACTTCTTATCTATGGTGTATTTGCATAGTGATATCAAGAGATTGAAAATAATTTCAATGCTACTAATAATTTTGAATTTACATTTCAAAAAGAAAATGGTTTATCTTCGTGCCTTGAGGAATATTAAGAAAGATTATTGTTAGATAGTATTCAAAACTCAAAATAACTCGTAATTATATATTGATAATTATAACTCATAAACAACTGGTCATGATTGACGATGATTCAAGAAAAATTTGATTAAATTACTAATTAATATGGAAGTAGTTGTCTGAATCTTTAAAGTAAAAAGAATATAAAATATTTGTTTATTAACTTCTTAATACTGTCAGATCTTATCCTTTGTCAGTTGGCGTGTTCTCATGAAAATTTTTGGCTATTAAAGTGGTGTTTTCATTTTCATCAATGGTGGAAAGGACAAGATTGACATTTAGTTTTTTCTCGGATTCAGATAAATTTGCTGTTAGTTATTGTTGGAACGGGTTTCAGTTATTGGCTCCTGTTTTCTTCGTTCCTCATTGGAAAATGCGTACATTGAACTCCGAAGTCCAAGATGAAGTAGTTATTCCAGTGGATAATCCACCGCAAGCCAATACTAAGCACCATTTGAGGAGATGTGCAGCCATGCAATGCAGGGTTGAGTCTTTGTGGTTTGTCCTTGATGAGCAACTTAGGGAAGAAAATCTTGGTGCCAGCTTACGAGGTTTCAGACCGTTCTTGGTAACCATGCTCATGAGTACAGTATGTATGAAATGGACGACATTATGGCGAGGCTCTAAGATTTGGTTGGATTAGTAACAAATTAGAAGATGTATAAGAAATTCTCCACTTTAAACTTTTTTCAAGACGACTATTAAGATTGTTCTATTTATCTAATATGCAACTTTAAATATAATCACTCTTTTTTTTCTTTTCTTAAATTAGGTCTACGTTCAAAATCTTAATACGATATCACAAGATAAAAAAATAAAATGAAAGGTCCAAAAATTTAAAAAAAGCCAAAAAAATGGACCTTTAACTTTAAAAAAGGAGTACAAAAGCAATAATAATAATAATAATAAAAAAAGATAGGAGGTAGAGACTCTAATTTGAAATATAAATCTAAGCTAAAAAAAATAGATATTAATGATGCAAGTTGCAACTACTCAAAACTAGTTAAACTTAAAAAAATATTAAAATAATAAAGAACAAATCAAAAGATATATAAATAAAAGAAATTTAAATTTAAATTTAAATTATTTAAGACATTTTAAACAAATAAACTTATATTCAAAATTCTAACAATAAGGAATAAAAATAAATAAAATTTAGTCAAAGATTAAAATTTTATAATTCTTTTATAAATGATAAAGATATATATGTTAAATTTTTTTTGTATGGGATGTATTTGTGTCGTTTAGTTCTAAAAGATTTTTTCAACATGTAGCAGTTTGACTTATCCTTCAAAACCATTTTGTGCTCTTCGTGAAGTTTGAAATTTCTAATGTCTACACGAGAAAAAGCTTCTGCTAATTTCTTGAGCATGATTTGCCAGTCAATTGTAAATTTTCTTGCTTCTTCTGAATTTGAGAAAGCTGTTTATTGACGGCTACTTTTTTTTATATGATTTTTTTTCAAAATTTAAAAAATATGAAATTTTTTATAAAATTATGAAAATATAAAATTCAAAAATTGCCAATAAAATTTTTTAATGCAGTATAAAAATTCAAAGATAAAAAAAAAATAAAAAAATGATAAAATTTTAAAAATTGTCAATAACAATTTTTAAAAATAATATTAAAAAATTAAAAAAATAAAAAGTCGCTTATAATAATTTTTTTAAAAAATAATTAAATATTTAAAATATATATCAAAATTGTTAGTGATAATTTTTTACTAAAATTCACTAATAATAATTTTTAAAAATTATATTTCTGTAATTTTATAAAAAATTATCATATTTTTTAAATTTTGATAAAAAAAAACTCATAAAAAAATGTTCCGTTTATTGACTACTTATCCCAGTGTTTCGCGTCATCCTATAATTTAGGAGTGCGACCGTTGATGACTTTAATATACACCGTCCAATATTTGATCCCATGGCTCTGCCTTCACGGCTTCACCTACTCCTATTCTACGTGTCACCGGCTGGCCTTGACACGCTAAATGGTTTTCTTTATACGGAATTATATACGACTTTAAAATTACAAATCTGTTGATTTATTATTTTGAACAGAACAATATCATGGTCCAACACTGGTAATTTGTCTGATCCACTTTGTTCCTGGTTAATTTTCCGGAGACCGTGAAATGCTGAATGCATCAGTGGGAGGAAAAGAACTCACATTTGAAAACCAAAGAATCAGTGACGTGGATATTATAGATGATGGGTACAAGTGGAGGACATACAGGTGCAGTGTTAAGAAAGGCAATATAAATCCAAGGTACAATATATTGTTTTAAAGTGAATCTATTCTTATTCTAACATGTTTATTATCACTTTTTTTTTTTTTTTAAAAAGCCATTCTGTGAATAAAAGACGGGTACAATACATTGATCAACAATTTACATAATTTTTTATTTAATTTTTATGCTAAAGGTTCTATGAGAAAAGAAAAACCAAGGAAAAGAAGCGTACGGATGAAACTTACAATTATCCACTACTCATTTTATATATATATATATATATATAGATATATACACACGTACATTTTAAATTAACCGGTGGGTTTAATTTACAAGGAGTCACAAATTTGAGTTAGGTTGAATTTTTCAAATCTGTGATTGCCCATATAAATGTAACTTGATGCAAGACGGGGGAGTTATCCCAATCCTCGCAATTTTCTCTTAAAGAAAAGGAAAGGGTAGCTTATCATTCTGACACACACCTCACTTGTGTAAGAGCACAAGGACAAGGGCAATGCTCATCCAAATTCGGAGATGGCTGCAGCAGCCAAATATATGGAGACTAGTTTGTTCTACTTCATCCGTTGTTGGACTACTGTGTTACGGTCTCAGCTCCTCCTTCACTCATCTGTTCGGAAAGTGGACCTTACTAAAGCTGTTTCTTTACACTGTTTTTAGTTTAATCATCTGCCTCACCATCCTGTTTGCAAAGGAATGGCAACACTCACCCAGTCTCCAACTAAAAGCTCACTTAGCATTTTTGGTTTTGATGACCACTTCTGTCTACTCCTTTTTCTTTGACAAAGTCCTGAGTGGGAAACCAGACGCATTTACCCTTATTTCATGTGCTGCTTTTGCCATTATGTCTCTCAGCTTGTCAAAGCAGACTCATTATGGAATCGAGGTTGATCTCTTATACTTCTTTAGCGGATGTCTAACAATTCAACTCATGAAAATAAATTTATTCCTGGTAATTGTTGGAGCCTGTTTCAGTTATTCACTCGTCATTCTTCGCTCCTCTTTGAATTCTCCAACAAATGACCGTCTTGGACTCCAAAATCACATAATCATTCAGGTGGATTCACATTCACTAGAAGCCAATACTAATTCCATCATGCAAGTAGAAGCCAACACCGATAGTGTTCCTATCACGAATTTAGTCACTAAAATGGATTCATCACACGGCAACACTGATAGAACTGTTGTCATGCAACAATTTATGACTTCCACAAAATCGCTTAAGAAGAAGAATCGGAAGCTTATTCACATAGTTTCCAAGCATGTGGAAAAATATCTTGAAGAGATTGTTGACTCTCAAAGATTGAACCATTTGCTACTGAACCCCGACGTCAACTTGGTGATGGACGCTCTTCCGTCGCAAACTATCAACGACCTTCACGAAGCAGTGAAGTTGATGCTGGAAGCAGGATTAGAGCAGGAGTGTTGTCACGTGTACAGCACATGCCCCAGGGAATTCTTAGAAGAATGTCTCTTGAGGTTTGGGTTAAGAGAGCTCAACATGGAGAACATCGACGAGATGGAGAAGATTGAAAATTGGACAAAAGCTTTCAACGTAGCTGTGAAGATTCTGTTTCCCAATGAAAGAAGACTTTGCGATCACGTCTTCAAAGGTTACTCTTCCGCAGCTGACATAACTTTCACTGAAGTTTGCAATGACTTGATAATTCATTTACTGAGTTTCTCCAATTCCTTCACAATTAAGACTAATCGTTGAATTTTTTGGGTCGCATCCTCCCTCAAGTGTGGAATACATTGCGTGGCATGTTTACAGAATTTGACTCACTATTTTGTGGTCAATACAGTGTATCACTCAGATTTAAATTAAGAACGGTTATGAAGATATTGAGGAAAGAAGGCTCGGGCTTTATTAGAGAGCTGAAGAATCATATTTCAAATGACTTGCCGCGATTGCTTGTTCCTGATGGTGGGCTTCATCCTATTACGTCTGAAACGATGAATTGCCTCACAAATTTTTGCAAATCTAGGGATATTATAACTCATAAGCATGTTTTGGAAGAGTACATGGTGAATCATGAGCGAGAGGAAAAGTCTTCTTTACTTTCTGTACAGATAAATTGGATTATAGAGCAGTTAGAGAGCAGTTTGGAAGCTAATTCCAAAAGCTACGTGGACCCTTCTTTGGGATATGTTTTTATGATGAACAACCGGGGCTATATGGTGGAAGTAGTGAAAAATAACCATCGATTGCAAGCCTTTGTGGGAAAAGATTGGATCCGGAGACTCACTGCAAAAGTTCAATTAAACTTGGAACATTATCAAAGAAGCTCGTGGGATAAGGTTCTAGAACTTTTGAAGGTGGAGCATAATGATGAGTTTGTGGTGCCTAATATTGTGGCAGAGTCAATGAAGGAAAAGCTCAGTTTGTTCAACCAGCACTTTGAGGAGATATGTAACATTCAGTGTAAATGGTTTATCTATGATGAACAATATAGGGAACAAATAAGAATGTCCCTTGAAAACATTTTGTTGCCGGGGTATGGGAATTTCATTAGGATGTTCCAGGTTGTTGTTGGCAAGGAAGCTGATGAGTATATTAAGTATGGAATGTTTCAGATTGTAGATAATCTCAAATGTTTGTTTCTTGGAAGCAAGGGGATGGAGCAGCGGCTGGAATTAAGAGAAGTAAAAGCTACTGAATCTGGTGTGAAAAAATGAAAACAAGTGCTACAATTTGTTAAAACTTTATAGTGTAATTAAGTTTTACATCGCTTATTATTATTTAATCTTAGTTTTCGTTTTATTGTAACTGTAAAAGTAATACTTTGAAATATTTTTCAAAACATTCATTGAATAAAATATATTTTTTAACATAGGCATGAATGTACGTATGTCACATATATAGTTTGGCGAACAAAATTTATATTTTTCAAGATATACCCTACTATAGATTCAAAATCAATGAATTACATTAAATTTTTGTGTTGTTCTTTTTCATTTTTTTTATCTATTCTTTACTCTCAATAACGGATATCAATACATTGTATCTGTTTTTTTTATTGCAATTTTGATGGTAGAAATTTTGAATTTAAAGGAGGTAGATAAAACCTTTTCACTTTAGAGGAAGCAAGAACAATGAAGTTGGAAGAGAGAAATGTGAGAATTAAGAAGTTTGATGACAGATATTTCAAATTTTAAAGATAGTTTATTATCTGTATCAACCTTTAACAAAAGAAAAGTCAAATAACATAGAGCAATTAAATTAAGAGTTATTAAATTGACACCTAGTGTGATCAGATTAAAATTAGTCAAGAATATTGGTTTCAATATTGTGAACTAACAAATTAATTGCAGATAAAGACATTGTCAAATATATATAAAAATCATTCACAACTCTTAATAAAGTATAATTGATGTATCGGTTATTCAACTTCAAAATAAGAAAAAGTAATTTTATAACTAATCATGTTAACAAAATTTAATATAATTTTTAACTATTTAGTATTAATACATGTCATGTGTGATAATAAAGTGAAAGCGATAATTCTATCATCATCTATTCAAGAGTTATAAGTTTATTATTAATATTTTTATAAAAAATAATAATTTAAAATTTGATAACATTCATAACTTGATCTTTAAGTGAAAACTTTTATAAGAAAAATTTAGAAAAAGGAGTAGCCAAAGTCAAAATCAAAGAAGAACAAATCAAAGTTTAAAAAGAAAAAGTAAACAAGAAACCAAAATAATATTATTCGTTGAAATTATGAGAAAAATGATAACTTTATGAATCTATGTAAAATTTAAAAAAAAAATCAATAAAAAAAAGAAATATGATGACGGAGGGAAGTAACTTTTATTGTTATTGAGTAAGCAACTTCTTAAAATATTTTTGAACATATTTAATGAATAAAATAGTTTTTAAACATCGAATCAAGTTAAATTCTTAAATTCTTGCATCTCTCCTTTTATTCTTTTTCTTTGTTTTACTCCTAATACAGTTATCATCAATCCTGCTTGTAAAGGATTTGTAGCCTTGTGTACATTTATTTTTGGTCTCAGAATAACGCGTAGGAAGGGGTTTCTGTCCATAATTTCCCGAATTCTTTTTTTCTTTAATAGTTTATGTTTGATTTGGGAGAAACTATTTTTCCATTGATAATAAGATTGTGCAGACTATTTTATAATTATGGAAAAAAAAGAATAAAAAGATAATAATACATGATGAGTGGTAGTGTTATAGAAGTATTATAAAAATATAATGTAAAAATTATATAAATTTTTATTTTGATTTTAATTATCAATCGTTGGTGGTATTGCTATTAATTATAAGCAAATTTGTGAAACTTGAATTGAAATAATTAACGTAGATGTGCGAATTGGTCTGTGGTACTAGTATATTAAAAGCACTCCCAATTCGCAAATTCACATCAATTTATAATAAAGAAGAGACTTCAACATTTTGGGATTACCACACACACTTCAAGCTTGTTTGACCTGGCAATTTTGACACGTATAATTAATTACCAGTAAGTTTGAAATCTTGTAAACGACAGCTTTTGCGTTTGACTTGAAATCAAACACGTTACCAATTTTTTAGGAATTTATTTCTGTAAAGAGAAAATTACGTTGAATAGTCGATGAAATTTTTAACTCTAACAAGATCGATTTCAGTGTTTCACAGATAGGTTCTTTACATCATTCTAAAAGTAGATAATTAAAATACGTTTTTGTTTTTTATAATATATTTTTGTGATATAAATAAAAATATTATATTGTTATATTAAATTTTATTAATTCAAATAACATTACTGTGGTAATAAATAATAATGCTCTTCCAAGCCACTTGAGCAGTGCGACACTCTCGTCTCTTGAATGCAAATTGCTTTCAGTTGACGAAGATTTGTGAACCCAACCCGATTAGTCTTGCTTCCTAGTTTGTCTTACGTATGGTACGACAACCTCACACGTAATTATAACAGAACAACCAGCTGCAAAATTTGGTCACTACTGTAATAAATTAAATCAATTAACAGATCCATCAGCTGAAAAATTTGTCCACGTGATTTTGAAATTGGGCCACTATTAAAATAAAATAAACTAATTTCTCTGTAATATCTATATTATTAGAGTTATCTGCTAAAATAAATGTTAAAACTACTGAAATAATTAGTTTAGGAACTCTTGCATAGTGCAGGAAAAAGAAGTATATGAATATAAATTTATTAAAGAGGATAAGTATGTAAAATAAAAATAAATTGAAGTCTTATCTATTATATATTTAAATTCAATTATTTAATAAATATAATCTATTTTAAATTAATATTAAATAATTTTACATTTCAGAGTTGTTAAATCCAAAAGTTTATAGAAATTGGGAGTAGTACATCATAATTTTTACACGCATCTTTCACAGCATATTTTATTTTTCTATTTCTTTCAATCAAATAATACATTGTGTCTTAGACTTGTGCATCTCATTTTCTATTTCCCTTCATCATAAAAATATTTTTTTTTCTCTTTTTATAGATGAATATATATATATATATATATATATATATAATTATATGAATGAATTTTTTTTAATCATAGAGTTATATGATAGCTATTAATATTTTTACTTTAATTGGCGAGACTTTATAAAAAAAACGTAATATAAAATTTAATAATTAACATATCTGAATATCATCTTTTAATAATGACTAAAGTCAATAACTTAAAATAATATAGAGAATAAAATAAAAAATGATTACATAAAAAATTAAATTTTGATATATTTTAAGACCAAAAATATATTTAATCCTTTTATTTATAAGATTTTGTTGTTTAGAAATGAATTTAAACATGTAAAATGAAAAAAAAATTATTTATTTTAAAAATAAAAATATAATAAATATTTTTGGATAAAATTTTATTATTTTTACTTCCTGTAACATGTCCTTATTTATGTAATGAAATTATTCTCTGTATACCCTCCCATATTACCGGACCATCCGCGGACTCTAATTGAAAGGGAACATGTCGCCAATACTGGTTCAGATTCTGAGATGGTTCATGCAGTCAAAGCTATGGAGATTCCTGGGTTTTGCTTCTGCTCTCGTTGGACTACTTTCCTACGCTCTCAGCTCTTCATTTACCCATCTATTTGGAAACTGGAACTCCTTCAAAATATTCCTTTACACTGTTTTCAGCTTCATCATCTGTGTCATGGTTTTGTTCGCAAAAATATGGCAACACTGTAGCAGTATGCGTTTAAAAGCTCATTCCATATTTTTGGTTTTGACCATTACCTCTATTTATTCCTTTTTTGTCGATAAAGTTGTGACTGGAAAACCAGATGCATATAGCTTAATTTCGTGTGTTGCGTTTGCTATCATGTCACTGAGCTTGTCGAGGCAAACTCAGTGCGGATTTGAAGCCGATCTTTTATATTTTTTTCTTGGATGCTTAACAGTTCAATTGATGAAGATTAAGTTGCAATTAGTTGTTGTTGGAGTGGGTTTTAGCTATGCCGTTATTATTCTTCGTTATTATTTACACGCTACACAAGTAAATGAATATCGTGCACTTGAAGATCAACGCCATGTAGTCATTCAAGTGGATTCACAGCAATTGAGTAATACTAATAGAGCTACTATTAGGGAACACTTCATAACTTGTATGGAGAAGCTTCAAGAGAACAATTTGAATGTCACAAATTTGCTTTTGAAGCAAGTTAAGAACAAGTGTGAAGTGTTCGTGACAGACCACAACTTCTTCATTGATGCGTTGCCGGCAGAAACAATCAACAATCTTCATGAAGCTGCAAAATTGATGGCGAGTGTTGGGTTTGAGAAGGAGTGCTTTGATGTATACAGTTGTTGGAGGAGGAAATGGTTGGAGGAATGTGTAATAAATAAGTTTTTAGGGTTGCAAAAGATGGGATTTCATGATTACATGATTGGAAGATGGAATAAAGCTTCCAAGGTTGCTCTTAGGATAGTGTTTCCCAGTGAACGGCGACTATGTGATTGTGTCTTCTCAGGGTTCTCTTCAGTTGATGTTGATCTTTGTTTCTTAGAGGTTTGTGGTGGAGCCACTGTTAAGTTGCTGAATTTTGCTGATGCATTTGTGAGTCGGAGCCCTGAAGCGTGGCGTTTGTTTAAAATCATTGACATGTTTAAGACATTGCGTGACCTAATTCCTGAATTCCGGTCATTGTTTCCTAAGTCGTTGGTGAATGAAGCAATCACAGTCAAAAACAGATTGGGAGAAGCATGCAGGGATATTTTCATGGAATTTGAGACTCTGATTTTTCAGGTGCCATCGGCAGAGTTAGATGCTTCAGACGATGGTGGGGTTCATCCAATGACTAGCAGCGTCATCAACAACCTCCTCCCTGCTTACTGGTCACAACAGATCTTGGATAAAATCTTACAGGAGTACCCCAAGGTTAATGATGGAGCTGGAGCATTTTCATTCTCTGTACTTATGAACAGGATAATGAAGCAACTTGAAAGAAAATTAGAATCCAAGAGCAAAATCTACAAGGACCCTGCACTGTGCTATTTTTTCATCATGAATAATCTGAGGTGTGTGCAGTGGCAGTTGGAAACCTTGGCTGACGATGATTGGTTCCGAAAAAGCACAGAACAAAACTTTGAACTCTATCAGAGAAGCTCATGGAATAAGGTACTGGACCTTTTGAAGCTGGATTGCAATGAGTTGATGGCGCCTATTGTTGAAGCAGAGTCAATGCAAGACAAGCTCAATTTATTCAACAAGTATTTTGAGGAAATTTGTAGTGTTCAGTCCACATGGCATGCCTTTGATAAGCAGCTAAGGGAACAAATAATAATATCCCTAGAAAACATCTTCTTACCAGCATATGGAAACTTTATTGGGAGGTTCCACGAGGTTCTTGGTATGCATGCTGATGAGTATATTGATTATGGAGTGTCAGACATTCAAGATCGACTCAACAATTTGTTTGATGGAAGCAAGCTGATTAATCAGTGTAGCTGAAAGAGAAGGAAATGATCAAATCAAAGGGCTAAGCTTGTTTGAAGTTAGAATACAAAATTTCTACATAATTCTTGAAGGATTTGTGGTTGTGCCCTACGCATCATTTGTTTTCTACTCAGAATCAGAAAGGCGTGTTTCCTTTCCAGGCGACCATCTATATGGACCTTGTTAGAAGTGGCCCTTGATGGTCTCCAAATTTTAACCGTTGGATATAATCATATAATAATAAATAAATCAATGATTAAGATGAATGACCCGAAACTTATTTTGTAACTTGTTATAGAGATGTAATGTAAAATCATTCATGTTTGGTTGACAAATTTGGGGAGGATGGATCATGATGTGGTTGATGCAGGTTTGAGTGACAATGATTAGCATTTTAAGAAACATATTTTTTTACGTTAGATTATTCTTTTAATTTTGATGTATTTTATTAATTTTGATTAAATCTGTGGTTGAGCTCACAATTTGTATAACAAAATGCAGTTGCTAAATTCATATATCTCTATTGTATGTTCAGTTATTCACTACAATTTATAGTACACTCCATGATTTTTCAAGTACTAGATTCTTTGATTAGTTATAACTTCAGCAAAGAAATTTTACGACTTAAAGAGACATGCAACGGCATGATATATAAACAGACACATAATGGAGAGGGTGAACAGAGCAATTAATTTCGTTATAGATTATGCCAAGTTTGTTCCTGGGAAAATGGCTTGTGTCAAGAGGTATTAAACAACTGGGTATATTTTGTGAGATTAATGCCTGCCGAACAAAAAGTATCTTGTTTATAAGATATTAATTGCTTCCGTTGTTATTTGTTTTGGTAACTTTTGCAGAATACTATAATAGCTTGTTTGGTAACCACTTTTAGAGAAAATAATCGCTTATTTTTCAAAAACTCTCTCAAAAAGCTCACAAAAACAAACAATTATTTCTTTTATATAAATTGATCAAGCACAGAAGTTTGACAGTTGAATTGTCAAGAAAGGTAAAATTCCTTGCATGTCCTGCAACCTTGAGTAAGTCAAATTTGAATCATGTTAAACTTTGTGCAAGAAATATTTATTCAGATTGCATACATGTTGTGTCTTCCAATCGCTGCTCAGATACCTTTACTAATATTTGAAGGATTGGTGTCAGGTGCTAGAAGATGCAAAATTGATATTGAAACCCACACTAAGTGCTTACCAGGGGGCTGCATCTTCCCTGGCATGGAGTCTTGATGACATCAAGTTGCTCAAATGTGGGATCTTTGAAGCTTTAAAGCTTGCCCATCTCTTTTCTTTTCACCAATGTGTACTAGTCGACAGGTAGTATAAAATTTATGAAGGATCTGTAGGCAACAGGACGAATCAGCACATCACCTCTGCAGCCACTCTTTAATTGAGTGAGAAGCAATTCTGGGAAGTTTGTCTTTGTATCCAAATATTTACAATTAGTCTTGGACTCTTATCATCATGTATAGTAATTGTCTTTCGTTTTGCTCTCAATCCTACCTCTCTTTCCATTTTAGATGTATGTGATTAGTGTAGTTAATGTGTAATGCGTTAACAGTGTCATCCAAGCAAATAATATTCAATATGAAATTAAGGACTGAGGTATAATATTTGAATTGCGGTTGACAAAGAGAAGTTACAATTGTAGTGTGCTCATTATTTAGTAAACTGAACATAATAGCTATGTGATTCTGAAATTGAATTGTCTCTAGTAAGAAATTAAATGTTGTTAAAAAGAGAAATATAATGTTGTATAACATTGAGGAGTTACTGTCGTGAAGAGGACAAAATCAGACTTGTACAGTGGTGTTAAAGATAGTAAAGTGCGTCTAAGTAGGTTAGCAAGAAATCTAATGGTACACAAGTAAAAGGACTTCCAAGTATAAATTGTCTAAGGTGTGCAAGATAAGAAAATCACTCAAGTTTAAGCCTGTCAAAACTCGGATAAAAAAAGAGTAAAAAGCCCAAATTTTTTTAGAAAAAAGGTCAACAAATAAAAATAAACTTGTAAAATAAAAAAAAAACAATAAAGAAAGAAAAATAAGTATAAGCCGAGACAATAACGCTGTTAAGCACCTCTGCTAGCACAAGCCAAGGCAATAATAAAGCACTTCTTGTACTTGAAACCGTGAGAATGGGAATATACACTCCCAAATTCCTTCAAGTAACTTCTTTCTTTCTTATTTCCCATTGGAGTTAGGTACACTTAACAAGCAATCTTCTCATATATCTTATCTGCACATTAAATACAGATAAAGTCGATTCATCAAATCAATAAATCCCGAGATAGAGGACCAGTTACTACGATGTTCATCCTCTCATCAATCAAGTGAGGACCAAGTTTAATATATAGAAGTACTTTGAATTTTTTTTTTATGACAAACATTTAAAAGACAATATTTCTTTATTTTCATCTACATAAATTATTTTCTCAAAGAGAAATTTTCTTAACTAGTTCATGACTTTTGAAGGGTGAAGTTATTATTAAGGATATTAATTTTATAATTCATTTTAATAATATTTTAAGTATAATTTATTGAAATAATTTATTTTAACTTATTTTAATAAATTTTATCATTAGATTCATAATATAAATCGTTTAAAAATAACTTATTAAATAAATACTTAAATAAGTTATGTATTTAAATATTTACAAAATTTCAAAAATTAATTTGCATAAAAAGAAAATTTTGGGTATTCAATTTTAAAAATAATTAATATCTTTTTGAGACTGCAGTACTTACTTTTTTTAAAAACTAAAATTAACTAGTAATTTCCTAACTCTTCAGATCTCTGGCTTTATAGCAACAATTTTCTTACAATTTAGTAAGTTCCTTACAATCTCAATCCCCTCTCTACCTCTTACAACAAGATCATGTTAACAAGCATCTTTCTGAATAAAATAAAAAACAATTATTGAATATCAATGACTAAGAAACAGCCAAAGAAGTCTCCAAAGGAAAAGGAATTACAGTTCCACAGTACCACAATAAGAATAGAAGTCCAAGCTCACTCAAAATATATCATATTAAACTATTGTTATTGCATTGAAAACAATTTAATAATTATTTTTCAATAAAATCAAAACATTTTTATTCTAGTTTCACGAAAAAATGAAATTTAATATAACTATGAAGATTGATAATTAACCTGCTTACTTTTAAAAAATAAAAATAAAAACAGCTAAACATGTGTAAATTTTATTTTCTACATTCTTAACACATCGATTTATATGCGTCTATGAATTGAGACAAAAATATTCAATAAAAAAATGTAAAGATGTATGAGAGACCGGAAAAACAAAATAACATAACTTTTTTTTTTTTTTGGGACAAAACAACATAACTAGATCTAATTAACTTATGAAAATTGCATCATTTTTATATAACTATTAATTATTCAAGTGATTCTCATTAGTATAAATGACTATGCACTCAGTGCTTATATGCATAAAGTTCACAAATGAACTTGTTTGATGATTTGACTCTAACGTGGAAAAACCATAAAGCAAACCAGTCGGCAGAGATTGTTCCACTAATGTAAAACAAGTCCAAGCTCTAAAATAATGTGTTATTTTTTTAAATAAAATTGTATTAAAAAATATATTATTATAATTTAATAATTATCGATACTATAGAAAAAATTAGAGAAATATATAACTTAATTTATTGTTAAATTTGTTATATTTTATTTAATATTATTTAATAACAATAATTTATTTTAAATATTTAATATTATATAAATTTAATTTTTTCATCTATTTTTAAATAAATTTATTTATTTACAAGTTTATAATAGAAAATATATTATATAAAATAAATATTTTTAATAAATTATTTCATAGTATATAATCATTCTATAAAAATGCGAGTTAAGATAATTTTTTAAAAAATAGTTAATTCATGAGTTATGGTTGACTAATTTAATTTTATGAGTTGTTTTTTTTTTTATTATTCAACAGGGCTTGCAAAGCTAAAAAAAAAACACAACTAAACTAACATCCTACCCTGAAACTATTTATAAGTTTTTAATTTTATGAACTTTTTATATAATAATAATAAAAATTTAAGTCGTTTTGTCTTAACTCAAGGTTAAATTAATTGAGGTTCACTATTTGATAATTCTATTTCCAGCAAGTGGACACTTTTTTTTAAGTTAAGGTTAAATTAATTAGGGCTGAGTTTTTGACAATTCTTTTTCTAGCACATGGACACTTTCTTTTCTTGTCAAACCGTATCGTGTTGGGTATTGATACATATTAAATACATGTAGATATTTATCAAAATAATTATACGTAGGATATAAATATAATTTTAATAAGATTATATTCAACTTTAGATATAATTAATTATATTTTAAGTATTAGATATTTCTTGGATGATAATTTTTTTATGAATTTAAAGACTGTTTTATCTGTTTCTCATTTTTTATATTGATTTGTTTTGTTAGCTTTAATTTTTAATTGAGTTCTTTTTATCTAAAAATTAAGTTTGAAAATATGCTAATAATAAACTTTTATTAAAAAAAAACAAAACATTTATTACACTTTATATCTTCAATATAATATTTTTTTATTTTTAATAAAATTTTACCTACTTGAAAACGTTAAAACTTAGCCTTAAAGGTTAAAAAAATTGCATATTTATTTCTCTATTCAATTAAATTTATTCATCTTCTCACTGATAAAATATAGAATATGATTATTTTGTTAATTTTTTCATTATAAATATTTTTATAACAATATATAGCTATTTTATACACTTCATTTTTTTATTTTTTTAAAATTATACAAGCAAACCAGTATCTTTAATTTTTTAAAATTATTATATTCCATATCCAGTTATGCAACGTAGAGTCTAAGCTTTCCAGAGTGTATAATAATTTTCTTGTTCCCATCCAAGCTCCCTCAAATTTCCCATTCTTCAGAAATTATTTGTAAAGGTGCTTTTGGTATTTGCTGATTATACAACTTCAGGCTGTAGGCTTATGATGGAGCGTATCGATTTACCTTACAACGAACACCAGTCTACATATCATTATTTTACTGTTAAGAGTCAACAAATCATTTTCAGTAGTGCTACACAACGTAGCCTAAAGAGAGCAATGAAACTCCACAAGAAGGACTTGGACCTTTTGAAGCTACACAGCAATGAATCTGGAGCACCTAATCTTGCACAAGAGAATACGAAAGTCACTTTTAGAAGAGCTTGTGAATTTTACCTTAACTTGGGCAGCTAAAGGAAGAAAAAAGAATATCCCTGGAAAACTCAGTAGTATATTTCCAGTTCCAAACTTAGTAAGTAGAATCACAAACATGTTTCCTTACTTTGTTTCTATGTTTTAGGTTTACTTGGTTTTAGTCCAAGTCAAAGTTGCAACAAGTAACTGTCAGCAAACTTATCAACAGTTCGTCGTGACTTTGTGACCTTATATGATGACTTTGTGAGCTTGTATGATAACGCATCACTATCATCATCATTTTCCAAAGTATTCAGATTTTAAGCTTTATAGCAATAATTTTCTTTCAATTTAGTAGGTTCCTTTCAATCTCCAACCCATCTCTAATAAGCCAAAGCAATTACCCTGCCCTTTAGAAATTAAGTACCATGCCTTTCCAAATTCCCAAACGGCGAGTACAGAAAAAGCTATGGAGAGTTCTGGGATTCTTATCAAGTGTCATTGGACTAATCTGTTATGCATTGAGTTCCTCTTTCAAACATATATTTGGAGAGTGGAACTTGTTGAAGATCACCCTTTACACCATGGTAAGTTTCTGTATCAGCAGCATGATGTTATTTTTGAAAACATGGAATCTTTCTAAGAGTTTCTTGATGAAAGCTCACGTGGGTGTTCTAGTTTTGTTGCTCACTTCCTTTTACTCCTTTGTATATGATAAGGATGAGAATGGAAAACCAGACCTATTAAGTTTGATTTCATGTGGAGCCCTTGCTTTTATGTCTTTGTGCTTGTCAAGGCAAATTGACCTTGGGTTTGAAGCGGATCTCCTCAATTTCTTCCTTGGTTGTCTAACTGTTCAACTTATGATGATCAACTTGATGTTGTCTATAGTTGCAGCAATTTTCTGCTACTGTCTCATGGTTCTACGTTCCAAATTTGAGTCTAAAACACATGTTGGAACTCGAAGAATGGAAGACCACGTAAACATAGACATTGATGCTGCAGAAGAAGTAGAAAGAGAAGCCGATGACAACACAAGTGTCTTACAGTCTCAGTATAGCAACAGTCACCAACAAAGTCAGGGGTTAAGAAGAAGGGTGGGTGATGGGTACAATTGGAAAAAGTATGAAGTGAAATTAGTGAAAGGGGGTGAAAATCAGATAAGCTACTACAAATGCGCACAACCCAATTGCACTGTGAAGAAAAAAGTTGTGAACACTATTGAAGGGCAAATTGTTGAAACACGCTACAGGAGTATCCATAACCATTACAAGCCTGCGGATAGTTTGAAGAGGAACCCATCATCTGAATATTTTTATTCACTTCTACCTTCAGAGCCTGTCCCCACTGACTTGCCAGATGCCTCTTACAGCAAGAGACAATTGGAAATTCACAAACTAAAGAGTTCAATATCAATATGAACTATCATTTCATATTTTGCTTGCCAATCTTACCACTTTTACTATAATTAAATATTAATGATACTTAAGATTTCAGAAGCTCCCTTTTACTGTGTCATTTTCACCCTCCCAGTTACCACACCATTGTTTGATAACTTCTTTTATATACCGTTCGAACATGCCTTTAGAAAGCTGTAGGAGATTTTTTTAAACTGTTTTTTATTAATTTGAATAAGTCAATGATTATCTTTTTAGTTGTTTACTAGTTGTTAGTAGATAAGCTGTTTTTATCTTTCAGCTTTTAGTTATCAAAATTTGTTATTTTGTTGTTAAAATTGTAAGATATGATCTCATTTGTTATATATTTAAATTTAAGTTCATTCAATAAAATTCTGTCGGAACCCTTCTTCTAGTTATTTTTGTTGTCTTCTATTTTCTTTTTACTTTTAAAAAAATAACAATTGGTTTCAAAGAACCTTCTTGAGGGACTTATGAGAATCTTTGTAAGTTTTGAGAGCACCTAACTATTAACCCTACCTTTTTAGAATCAACCTCACCAATCATGAATTTTGAAGCTAGTATAACTTAAATAGCTTCACTAATCTTTGATGGAGACAATTGCAGATCTTGGCAGTTATCTTCAGGCTGTAGATGTTTGGAAAGTTATAGTAGAAGCTAATTATGGTGTTCCAAGTTTATTAGATAATCCCACAATAGCTCAAATGGAAAACCACAAAGAAAGAAAAACAAATAAGTGAAAAGTAAATATTATTTTTTTTCTACAGTTTCATCCTCAATTTTCACTAGAATTGCAAATTTGGAATCGGATCATGTCATTTAATTCTATCTTCAAGATGAATGTCAAGGTGACAAATGGATTAAAGGTATGAAAGTGTTGAGTCTTTTCAAAATTTGAAGCAATGAAAATGAACGAGTTAACAAATGTTAAAAAATATTCTAAACAACTTCTTAATACACCTAATTTAGTAAGACTGCTTGGTGCTGAACTATCTGATTTTAGGATAGTTCAAAAATACTTGTAACTTTACGTGAGAGATTTGATGTTCAATCTCCGCTTTAGAAAATATGATTTTACAAGTATTTCTTTGGTAGAAGTAATCAATTTTTTGCAAGCTTTTAAAAAGAGAATATTTATTATAAACAAATGTACAATAGAAGGAGCTATGAAGTCATACTTGGAGGCAAGGGAAAGAAGAAGAAAAGAAAGAAAGATGTAGCTACAATTGAGGCCAGTTCTAGCTACAATGAAGACAACAGTAAAAAGGAGAGATTTCTGCCTTGTAATCATTGCGGTGGTAAATCTCATCCTCACTTTAAATGTTAGAGGAGGTTGGATACAAAATATAACAAATGCAACCAAAAGGGGCATGATCTGTAATTTCACTAATTTGTAGAGCGAAATTCTAACAAGTTGTTATTGAGGCAAAAAAAAAAAAATGCATAACAAAGGTAGGAAGAACACCTTTTTGTTGCAACCTGTTTTTCGTGTAACAACTCCTGCGAGTCTTGACTAATTGATAGTGGCTGTATTAATCACATGGCCTATGATAAAGAGCTATTCAAGAAATTGAAGAGCACTAAAGTCAAATGGGTCAAAATTGGAAATGGTTCAGTAAAAGGCAAGAGAAATGTAGCTATAACAAGCTCCTTAGTTAATTGATATATTGTATGTACCTAAAATTAATCAGAACTTGCTTAGTGTTGGACAACTACTTGGGAAAGGATTCAAAGTCCTTTTTGAAGATAAAAGTTGCATAATTCAAGATTCAGCAGGCCATGAAATGTTCAAAATCAAGATGAAGAGCAAGAGCTTTTCACTTGATCCAGTGAAAAGCTATGTTTCTAGTTACAAGCAGTTCAATTAATCTTTGGCACAAAATGCTAGGTCATTTCAATTATTTGGGAATAAACTACATGCTGAAAAACCAACTAGTTCATGGAGTTTTCTCCTTAACTAAAAATCTAATTGAATGTGAAGCTTGTTAGTATAGGAAGCAAACACGAAAACCATTTCGTGAAAGTGCATGGAGGGTAAGTCAGAAGCTCCAACTTGTTCACATAGATATTGTTGGACCACAAAGAACTCTATCACTAAAAGGAAGCCTTTATTACATTATTTTTATAGATGACTTAACCAAAATGTGCTGAAAATTCAAAGCTTTGTTGAAAATCAAAGTGGCTGCCATATTCAAACTCTAAGATTTGATAACGGGAAAGAGTACGTTGTTGATCAATTTCAATAGTTTTGTGAAGAAGTTGGGATTTAACATAAACTCATTGTTCTATACTCATCAACATAATAAGGTGAGTGAAAGGAAAAATATATCAATCATAGAGATAGCCAAGTGTATGCTTCATTAAAAGGAGTTACCAAAAAAGTTAAGTTGAAGCTACAAATACAACAATTTATATTAGCTATGCAAAATTAAACTCCTTTTGAAGCTTAGTTTGATTTTAAACCTTCTTTAGATATTTCCAAAGTATTTGGTTATTTGTGCCATTTTTATGTGTCTCAAGCTTGATAAGCTTGGTAAAAGAGCAAATCCTGGAGTATTTATTGGCTACAACACCATTCTAAAGCTTATAGAATATTTTAGCCTCAAACAAATTTTTTTTTAAGAAGCAAAGATGTGTGTATTTTATGTAACGCTCCTAATTTTGTAATATTAATTATTGTTATATATATATGTGTGTGTGTGTGTATTTTTGGATATATGTTATGGATGTGTGTGTATATATGTGTGTGTATGCATGACTGGATAGGTTAAAAATAGACTAAGTGCCTAAGTGCAGGGTGTAATACTGGGCTGTTCTCGCTACAGTGAGAATGTAGCGAGAGGATTCTCGCTGTAGTGACAGAGCGAAAGTTGGAGGTGTATTTTTGGGTGCAGTCTCGCTGTAGCGAGATTCTACAGAAACCAGGGTGCAGTTTTGTTTGAAATTTTTGCTGCAGCAAGAGTGTCACGACCAGAAAGAGATTTAAAGGGGATTAGGATTCGGGGAGGGTTATTTCTCCCTCTCCCTTTGAAATCCCTTGGATCCTTGATGAATCTACATTTTATTAGATTTTTACTTGTCATTTTGATGGTTCTTAATAGAAAAAGCAAACTTAGGAATTGTAAATAATATAAAAACATCATTTTGGTCAATTTATCATAGGTTTCTTAATTTTTGGTTAAATTACATTGATTTGCATAGATATAGTTTGCAATTTTGATCATTTGAATAATTGTACAGGAGTTTCTAGACTTATTCCATGGATTTTTAGCATTTGAGAAAGTTTGAGATGAAAGTGATCACTTTGGAGTCTACAGTGAACACTACAACAAGCTAGATCCAGAAGGGTAGACCAAAGTGATCACTATGAACCCATAGTGACAACTCTAGAGAGGTGAAAAAGCACAAGACTTGCGCGTAGCTACTATGGAACCATAGTAGACACTTTGGAGCAGCCAAAGTTATCATTCTGATACCAAAGTGACAACTCCAGAGAGGCAAAAAACACAGGACTTGCGCGTAAATACTATGGAACAAGAGTAACCACTATGGAGCGTTGTGCGTTATCACTATGAAGCCAAAGTGATAACTCCAGAGAGGCCCAAAACACAGGACTTGTGCGTAAACACTATGGAACGAGAGTAACCACTATGGAGCGATGCGCATCATCACTATGAAACTATAGTAGTTACTTTGGGTGAAAATTTCTGCACTATAAATAGGATTTGAGAAATTAGGGTACAGAGCTTTTTATATAACTTTAGATTCTTTTGCCACTTTGGGAGCATTTTGCAGAGCTTAGGATCCTTGGGTTACAGCCAAGGCCAATCTTAGGGTTTGATTTACAATTTTTCTTCATTTTCCTTTAATTCTTGCATTGATGATGTTAAATTTTCCTTGTTTTCATCTTGAATTTGTAAGACTCATCCTTATGGAGGGCTAAGCTTTCTTGTAATCCTTAGTGAGTTCATGGATTCTTGAATTCCTGGGTATGAATGTCAATATAATTCCCTTTTCTTTATGAATTTGCATTTCTCAACTCTTTGAATTGAATTAATGGTTGAATTTAGGAGACATTGCTTAATTAATCCTAATTCGTTTTAATGAAATTCTTAGCTTAGTTTGCTTAATCCTAAGTTAGTTTCTAAGGTTGCGTAATCTTGGAGAAAAAAGTTGGAGCCCATGAAGATTGTTTAATTTGTATGGGACGTTAAGGTTAATTGTTGCTTTTTGAGTTACCCTAATTCAAAGGAATAGGAAAAATATTGAATCTTGAGAGGGATAGGGATAGAATTACATGAACAAACTAAGGATTGCATATTTCATTGATTGGATTCATTAATTTCATCACTTGCCTTTACATTAAAATTGGAATCACACAAACCTCATTGTTTTAATTGCTTATAGTAAATGTTTACAACATGTTCAATATATGTTACAAACCAAAGTCGTTGGAGACAACCTAGGCTTGCATCCTAGACTACATGAATTTTTTTGCATATTTTGATAAAGGTTGAAGATAAATCTTTTTGCGAAACGAAAATCTATCGTTCATCAAATTAGTGCCGTTGCCGGGGACTTTGGTGTTAATTTTGCATTGAACTTGTTAGTTGCTCTATTTTAGTGTTCTGTTTTCAATTTTTCTGCACTTTGCCCTATTTTTGCTGCAGAATTCTGCAGAATTTGTGAGTGTGTGTTACGTTTTTCTTGCCATAGTTTGCAACTTCTTTCTGTTTTTGCTGTTTAGTGTTATTGCTCAATTTTACTGCACTTAGATATCATTTTTCTGCATAATTGTTAGCTGAATTTTTCTGCATTTTTGCTGTTTCATTTAACTTCTTTTCATTCCTCATGGTTAGTTTCTAGTGCATGACCAGATCGAATCCTGGAGACTTGTATCCACTTGACCCAGAGATTGGTAGGACATTTCATAGTAGCATTAGATTACATAGACATAATTATGAACATTTTGAGGAACCTTCATCCCCTTCATCTATCTATTTATCACCTCATTCTTTAGAATCTGAATTTGAGCAAATGGCTGACAATGAAAGAACATTAAAGGAACTGGCTATACCAGATGTAACATATCAAACTTTATGCATACAGTATCCTGATATTGATGCTCCTTTTGTATTAAAGACTGGACTAATACACTTGTTGCCAAGATTTCATGGTCTTGCAAGTGAGGATCCGCACAAACACCTCAAGGAGTTCCACATTGTTTGTTCAACCATGAGGCCACATGGTGTGCCTGAAGAGCATGTCAAATTAAAAGCTTTTCCGTTCTCTCTGATGGATGCAGCCAAGGATTGGCTCTACTATCTTTCTCCAGGATCTATTACTAGTTGGGATAACTTGAAAAGACTTTTCCTGGAGAAATTTTTCCTAGCATCAAGAGCTGCGTCCATAAGAAAGGAAATATGTGGGATAAAGCAGCTTGAAAGAGAAACCTTTTATGAATATTGGGAAAGATTCAAGAGATTATGTGCTAGCTGCCCCCATCACCAAATTAGTGATCAATTGTTGATACAATATTTTTATGAGGGATTGCACCCTATGGATCGAAGCATGATAGATGCCGCAAGTGGAGGGGCGTTGGTTGACAAAACTCCGGTTGAAGCCCGCAACTTGATTGAGAACATGGCTGCCAACTCCCAACAATTTGCAACAAGGCAAAATTCTTATGTTACCAGAAATATGAGTGAAGTACAAGTTGCTCAATCTAGTAAGCTGGAACACAAGCTTGATGAATTAGCATCCATGGTGAAGCAATTGGCTTCCATGCAAAAGAGTGTTGCTGCATTTTCACCTCCTCCACCATCCGTTCCAGCCATATTGTGTGGGATTTGCTCAGCTACAGACCATTATATTGATAGCTGCCTGATCAATTGGATTTTTATAACCTTATTTCCTCTCATTCCTAGCTTATTAATCCTCTTTTGTGCCTAATTAGTTTGAATTGGATCATTTTATGATGTTTGAATTTTATTTGGGCTTTATTTAATTTTTTCAGTATTTGTCAAATTCTGATACTATTTTGGTTTCTGGACCATATCTTGAGTTGTAGAACTCATTTCATTGTGATTCTTGATTTGTAGGAAAGCTAAGAGAAAGGAACACAATTCTTATGAGAGGTCAAAACCCAATTCTGATGATAAGAAGTTGAAACTGGGCCTGGAAAAAGTAAGAATGCTGCACTTATGGTTTCTGACCTTGGTGCAGTATTTGGGCCATATCTCAGTCTATAGATGTCTTTTTAAGCTCATTCCAGTTGTTTTTTGAAGCTAACATCCAGGGGTACAATTTCACTTCATATCAGAAATTGAATCGGACAGATCTTCATGGATAAAAATACCACGTAATATCTTCACAGATTCAGCATGGATATTGAACAGCAATTACAAGTATAACTTTCC